GCGAAATGTCAGCTACGAAGGCAGTAAATTTATATTCCTTTGGGAAATCTCTCTTCTCTGTCTCTGTCTGTCCTCTCTTTCTCTCTCTCTCACTCCTAACTCCTCCAGTAATATTGGATAGAAAATAATATTGGGAGTTAGGAGTGAGCCAAACAGAAAGAGGAGAGCAAATGTAAGTCCTGTGGAGCACTGAGATCCAACACCCGGACCTTTATGTAATGAGATGTACTTTGCTTGAGATTCAGAAAATAATGAAATACACGAGTTATTTCTTTGCAGATAGGAATGGGTGCAATAATAACAAAATAGAAGAAAATATTGAAGCAATTTAAGCAATTTCGCTCCTAAGACTATTATATATGTAAATGTGTATGATTTTTAATGACATGTCACCTTTCATCCATTTGATGTTACAACGTGATCTTCATAAAGCGTTTAATCAAAATCCAATCCAATCAAATCTTTCTTTCCTCATTCCGCTCCCTCTCTCCTTTATCTCTTCTGCTTCTCTCTCTCTCCCTCCTCTCTCATTCTCTCTCCTCTCTCTCTCTCTCCTCCTCTCAAACTCACACACACACACCACACATCACACACACGTCACACACAACACCACACACACACACATCACACACCACCACACACACACACATCACACAACACACACATCAAGTCACGCACGCACACATACATACACACCACACAACACACACATACAGCGAGCGATCACACACACACCACACACATGTAGACCCCCACACATGCACCCTCCCCCTCCACACACGCAACACCCACCCCCACGCATAACCCCTCTCTCCCCATACACCCTCACGCGCAAAACACATTTCCAATATGATCGCTAATTCCTAGTCTGAACGTAATGGAATCCATTTTAGCCGAAAGATCGCGTAACGCTCCTGTACGATCTTAATTATGTGTGAATTTATTTTTTCGTGTGTTATTTAGTTGTAAAAATTATGTATCATGTTGTAAACATCTTTCCTGATAAATCTTGTAGATAGATAGAAGTAGATGGATTTCGAGGGAGAGAAAGAAAGGTAATAGATGGAGAGATAGAGAGATAGAATTTATGGAAAGAAAAGAGAATAGAAGGATAGATTGGTAAGGCAGACATAGCGAGGAAGATAGAATGAACAGATTAAATATACAGAGAACCAACCGGAACAGAGAGAAGAGACCGAGAGAGAGTGAGAGAGAGAGAGAGAGAGAGAGAGAGAGAGAGAGAGAGTAAACGAGAGGAGAGGAGAGGAGAGGAGAGAGAGAGATGAGAGAGAGAGAGAGGAGGTAGAACAGATAGGATAAATTGGATAGATGAGATAGATAGATTTGAAGTGGATGTAATGGGTGAGAGAGATGATAGGATTGATTAAGAGAGTAAGTGGGTGAAGAGTAGGAGTGGATTATAGAATAAATAAATAAAGAGGATAGAAGTATGATGTAATAAATAAAAGATAGAGAATAGATAGAATAGGACAGACAGACAGACAGATAGATAGATAGATAGATAGACTACGAGTAGTATAGGATACGAGAGTAGGGAGAGGAGAGAGAGAGATGGAGAGAGAGAGGTAGAGAGATGAGAGGAAGATGAAGTAGAGAAATGAGTATATAGGCTGCACCCCTTCTGCATCACCCCATCACTCCACAAAGTCACCCAATCGTCATTTCATGCATCTTTTTTGCGTAATCGTAACGCGAAATATATCATCATCTTCACCATCACTCATCGCGGCGCGAGCGTGTGGAGAGAAGAGTCGGCCACTCCGTTTTCTTTTCCTTGAGATCCGGTAAAGAAAACGGGGTTTGGGATCGGTGTGATAATTTCTGAGACGCGATCAGTTTCCCATTTTTTTTGTATTATGTGTCTTTATTTGAGCTAAATTCTAATTATCTTGGTATTGTGTTTCTCTTTTTCTTATCCTTATTTTCTCTTCCTCTTCTCGTAAAATAATGATAAGTGGGCAGCAAGTCACAGGGGAAAAATGGACAACGGAGGTGGAAAAACGATAGAGTATAGAAGTGAGATAAGGCGATAGTATGTGGGTACTGGTGCAGTTATAATGAAGATCCGACATTAGCGCATTATAATGTTCAATAGAAGCTCTTGTGAGGATGAAATAGGAAATCTGGTCAAAGGGAGTGATAGGAAAAAACAGGAAAGTAGAGAGAAAGAAAAGGAGAGGAAAAGGAGGAGTAGGAGAAGAGAATAGAGAATAAGAATATGAAGATGAAAGTTGGAGATGGAGAGAAGTAAAGACGGAGGCAACACGGGAGGTTGCGAGGGTAGAAAGGAGGAGGAAAGGAGGAGATAAGGAAGAATGAAGAGAGGTAAGAAAAAGTTGTGTAGAAGAAGAGGAAGCAGGAAGAAAAGTAAATGATGAAGATTGAAGGGACGAGATAGGAGGGATGAGGAGGGTAGATGCTTGAGGTTGGACGAAGAGGGTAGAAAGAAGACGAAATAAAAAAGAATAATAAATAATAAGATGAAGATGAAGACGAAGGAGGGGTAAGAGGGAGGGAGAGGAGGTAGAAGAAGAGAGAAGTAGAAGAAGAGAGAGAGATGAAGATGAAGA